GAAGATTTATGATATTTCACCGTTACATAGCTTCTGAGTATCTCTGCATTACACAACGTTCCCTGCTGCGGCAAGGGTAACGTTCTTTGCCAAAGCAGGTTGACCTCAAAGCTGTGCTAATAGCTTTCGAGTGTCTTCCAACGCGTCAGTCAGTGCACAGTTTCTTGCAAGGAAGGATTCGAGCATATCCCCGCCCTCTTTTCTGCAGTTTTATCATATCTTATTAGGCGCTGATCTCCGAATTCATCTACTGGCCATTGCAAACCGGTCGCGGTCAGATCGTGATGACCCGTTAATTACCAGCATACTTCGAAGATATCTTTTCGAGAACGTCGTTGGAAAATTTAAATTCAAGTTTCAAGAAATTTCAGCACCGCACTTGCTTCCAGACTTGTAAAAACTACAGTGACTACAGCAGCCTTCGAGACTGTTTGTTATTCAGTGCAGCCCAAATCTACTTCCAGTGCTGCCAAAATCGCTGTCATCTAAAGACAATGGTAACAGCACAAATTTGACGGCTGCGACATGATTATGATCATATTTTGGATACTGCAGCGCCAACATATATTTGAAGAAACTGAATGAGATTGCTGTCATTGATTGGTATAGTCTCGAGAGAATTTGTATTCATATGATTCACATACAGTTTAAACAGGAAACAAGGAACTTGAACCGTACGTCACATTTACAGTGCAACATGAATGTATTGGTTACATTCTACTGTAGAAGACACTCATTCACCAATGTAAGGATTTCGGTAATTCATGCAGATCGCCCAAGATAATTCAGAATTCCCTTCATACTCTGAATGTTAAGCAAAAGCTACCCTTTCTGTATTGTGCAAAGGTGAGGCAAAACAAGCACTCTGGTACGGAAATTTTTGTCCGTACGTTAAGCTGCTCACCTCCGGTACCAGGTGTACTGATGCACTTTCTGATGCTCGAAGGTGTTCATAATGGACAATCCGTTGTTTGCACAAAACCGCAACAGCTTCTTGCCGTTATTGTTGAGGTCGCTAGGGCTTTTTTTCGCAATCACGCCGTTCCACTTTTCATCGTATACTCCGACGTGCACATTAAAATCGCCCATCAATATGAGGGACTCTGTATTCGGCACTTCAGACAGAGCA